TTTTTCTGTAGGGAACAAAAAAATGCCAACTGCAGCATATGATACTTGCTTCTGTATATCTGGAAAACTGCCAGGTGAAGGAGAAAGTTAAATTATTGTGTGTCTTTCCCAGGGCAGAGGTAGTACAAATGGATGAGAGTTACAAGAAAGTGAATTTTATTCAGTATAAGGAAGTATTACCTAATATTGAGCTGTCAAAGATTCAATTGCTGTATTGTGAAGAAACCACTTACTTGTCATTGAAAGATTTTCAGCAAAGAACTGTCAAAAAACATCTTCCTAGGAGATAGTTCTTAATTCAGTGAAATTTTGGGATAGATAACCTCCTCAACCTCTTCCCATGGATACGTTGAAGGAAATCGCATGCCAGTATGCTCTTAAGCAAATCAGAGTTAGATATTGGTTCAAGGTATTTTCCTTCATTTGCAATCAGATAGATGGATTATAGTCCATTTATTCCTCATCTTTCTGGGGAATATCACTGTATTTTTCTACTCTTGCTCCTTAGAATGTCACTCAGTGAGTTATATGATGAAGGTATTTCAAAAACACACTTCTTTATCAGGCATCTCATAATGAAACGTAAGGATTGATGAGAACCAACCTAGGTAACACAGACAGCAAATATCATGGGCAGCACTTACACTTCTTCTTGTCTATAGCTACTTTCCCTTACTCTAAACTGAAATAGACCCTCAAATGTTGTAAGAATTTAACAGCACAAAGTGTGAATGTTACTGCAGAGCTTACTGTGGCTCAATCACTTCTTCTATATTATTTATTCTTCTTTACTTTCTCAGAAACTTTTTTTCAAACAACTTTTGACTGATGGATGAATTCAGTCAATTACTTTATTATTTGTTCAGCATAAGCTATACTAAGCAGTAATTATACAAGAAAAAGGACATAGTTAGTGGTCTAGTTAATTTGATCATAATCAAGAACACATGGGAACTACTTCTTCTTGCTAGCCATTGCTGCTTTTATTAACCGTAATTGGCCAGCTATTCCAACATCACATCTTCCCAGCCACTTTCTCTGGTTTGTATCTATTTCTCCTTAGTTCACACCTCTTGACAATTCAGTCAGTCATACTTACACTTCAATCATCAGAATTTCTTTCTGCACTTCTTATGTAATTTCTCATTCTCATTTTTCTCTGCAATTTGAAAGCTCCTACTGTGCTTATCCAAACAGAAGAAAGAATATTTTTCCCAATTCCAAATGAATAGTACCTGTTCAGTCTTAATGGACTCAACAATTGTGACATCTTTTGCTTATACATCAATTATTTATTTATAAAGATTCTAGAAAATCTATCAATATTATTATAGGATACTTTGTACTTAGCATATTTACTAAAGTAAATGTTATATGTTTTCTAGTATATTCAAATGCGTTTAATGGTTATTCTGAAAATGCAAGACATGACAAAAAATAAAGGTATTATTTTCAAATAAAACCATTACATTTACTTTAAGTGAAAAAAAAGCAAAGGAATTCATCTGAAAAAAGCAATCTAGGATTAATTTTCCATTATTGTTGTCATAAACAACTATAAATTTAGTGACTTAAAATATACCACACTTATTTGCCATTTCTCAGTTTTGTAGGCTAGAGGTCCTAAGTGGGTCACACAGGAATAAAAATCTCAGTATTTGAAGGGCTGTGTTCCTCTCTGGGGTCTCTAAATGGAAACATTTCCTTGGCTCGCTCTTTGGATCATGACCCTTTCTCTAATCTGCAGAATCAAAAGCATTTGACTTTGTCTTTGCTTCACTGTTGTCTCTCATCCTCTCAACTCTTCCTTGCTTTTCTACCTTGCAAACACCAGTGATTATGTTGGACGTACTTGGATGATCCAAGATAATTCCAAGATTTTAAGGTCAGCTAATTAGCAGTTATACCCACAATCCTAAATATTTACAATGTGGCACAGCATATTCACAGATTTGGAAGTCATTATTTTGCCTACCACAGACCCTTAGTTTTAAAATCTGGCAAAATAAATCCAACATCATATTAGAATATTGGCAAATAAAGTAAAAGTCATATATCTTTCTACATGGAATTATTTCAAGTATCTCTTCAGAATAGAAAACAGGGAAACTATAACTAACATCTGACTATACTAAACAAAACTTTTCTAGCTACTCTCAATCTAATTTATTTCTTCATACTGATCAGTCATGTTAATCATCAATGTAGTCATTGGTCTTTTCTAAAGTCAATGCGACTTTCATATTTTTATTCTGTGAATAATAACTTTTCAACATTCATGTTGTACTTTACATATCAGAATATACTGTATAAATTAATAATTTTGAGTATTGATTATCAGAACAAAAGAACACACAATTAGAACATGATCAAAGGAAGATGAAAGAACATATATATAACTTCTAATTCAGTAACATTATCATAATAGATATGTGGGCTCCCTGTAGTTAAAACAACACGGGGCAGAACTGTTTGCTTTCCTAACTTTCATGGTGAGCACTTACCAAATTGAAGGAAACCAGGTCAAATGTAGCTTTTTCTTTCTTAGGCTTATAGAGGGTAGATAAATTTCCATCTTTCATTTTTTTATTTAACTAAAGCATTGACTTTTCAAAGGATTACCAGCCAGATCACAGCTTTCTAATTGAGTACAAATTCCAAAGAAAATTTTAGACTGTTCGTAAGATTTTAGTTTAAATGCGAATTAGCACCTATGTAAGGAAAAAAACAATGCATTTAAAGCCTAAAATTCTGTTCATTTAATTTTTTTCTAAAAATACAGGAATATGGTTCATTTTGATAGCATTCTAATCATCTTGGTAGGGGCTGGCACTGTGGCATAGTGGGTTAAGCCTCTGCCTGCAGCGCTGGCGTCCCATATGGGCCCTGCTTCGTGTCCCGGTTGCTCCACTTCTAATCCAGCTCCCTGCTAATGTACCTGGGAAAGCAGTAGAGGATGGCCCAAGTGCTTAGGCCCCTGCACCTACATAGGGGATCTGGAAGAAGCCCCTGGGTTCGGCCTGGCCCAGTTCCAGCCAAATTTGGGGAGTGAACCAGTGAATGAATGATACCTCTCTGTCCCTCTCTCTCTGTAACTCTTCCTCTCAAATAACTAAATAAATCTTTAAAAAAATAATTCAGGAGGCCAGCACCATGGTGCAGTAGGTTAATTTCCCACCTGCGATGCCGGCATCCCATATGGGCGCCAGTTCTAGTTCTGTCTGCTCCTCTTCCCATCCAGCTCTCTGCTATGGCCTGGGAAAGCAGTAGAGAATGGCCCAAGTCCATGGGCTCCTGCACCTAGGTGGGAGACCGGGAGGAAGCACCTGGCTCATGGCTTTGTATTGGTGCAGCTCCAGCAGTTGCAGCCATTTGGGGAGTGAACCAATGAAAGGAAGACCTTTCTCTTTGTGTCACCCTCTCACTGTCTGTAACTCTACCTGTCAAATAAAAATAAATAAAATCTTAAAAAAATAATTCAGGTAATGAAACTGAGTCACCACTCTCATGAGGTCTTTCTCCTTTACCTTTGATTCTAGAAAAACCCAGGTAAGTAAGGGCAAGAAGCGGCACAACACTCAGAGAAACCCAGCTTTTTCAATTGTTTTATTCCTTTTTTTTTTTTTTTTGGCAAGCTGAAACCTACACTCCTCTTCCATAATCTCAATTCTAAAATGATGACGCCCTCAGACTTAATATGACAAGACTTGAGGGCAAGGAAGTCTCTCACTCACGTACAAGCCAGGTATTCTCAGGTTAAGAATTCTTGCATAAGGATTGTACCTAATCAGGTTTTCCCCATCCACTCTGCCACACAGGCCTTCTGCTTCTCCTTACAGCACAGTAAGACACAGTTTCACATACACTAAACACCAAAACTTCACAAGGCAGGAAGGATCAAGTGTCAAAGATGATCTCTGGAGACATGTCCACCACTGAGAGCTGGAACACAACTGCACAGCTCTTCGGAGTGTATGCTGGCATCTCATAGGGGTGCCAGTTTGGTCATAGCTGCTCCACCTGCTAGTCAACTCTCTGCTAAGGAGCTTAGGAAAAATGGCAGGGGATGCCCCAAGTGCCTGGGACCCTGCTACCCAAGTTAGAGCCTTGGATGTAGCTCCTGGCATCTGGCTTTGGGTTGGCCCACCCCTGGTCATTTGGCCATTTGAGGATAGAAGCAGTGGATGGATGATCTCTCTCTTTCTAACTGTGAGTCTTTCAAATAAATAAATAAATCATTTTAAAAAGACCAAAGTATAGATAACAAGTATGTTTTTTTTTCTAAAACAGAATAATCCTAACTGGTATTGACATTAGTATTCATTGCAATGAAGTTTATGGGTTTTTATATTTTGTATGACTATAATCCTCATTTAAGTAACAAGGAGAAAGGATTGATTAAGCTGTTAAACAGTAAGGAGAATGAGAAGAAAGTGATAATAATAGCAACAGGAATAGAGAAAGAAAAGTTGGGAGTAGAAAGAGAAATGGTAAACAAGCCATTCCTAGTGATGTAGACCTGATCTACTGTGCCAGTGATCAGCTCTTGCAATGACATTTTCTGGATTCTACAGGAAACCTATAAGCTCTGTTGTAACTCCATTTGGCATAGCCTTCCACTCATTCAATATTCCTGGCTGTCATTCTAAGATCACAGACAATAAATCAAAATTCTCTGTTGAAATCCAGAATGCTTTTAATTAAATACATTTAGTGTTCATATGGTAACTTTATTTTGATTGACTTACCTAGTAAGGTATTGAGGTATTTGTAAATGTTAAGTTTACATATTGGAGTATTCTCAAACTCATAAGTTGTACTAGAACTCTCAGGATTATGTGATTTTCTTTCAGTAAGTGTTTCAGAAAAGCTTGCATGATGTATATGAGCTGGTCATTATTATAATACCAGGTATCTGATGCAAAATTTCATGTATGTATTGAAAACTTTTATAAAGACTGAGCAAATCTATGGCCAGGGTTCCTTGAGTTACTACTTACATTGTGCTTTGTGAGGTTTGAAATATTAGTTGCTATTGCTTGTAACCAGTCAATACAGTCTTCAGCAGAGAGGCACTGGATAATCCCACTGCAGACTCCGTCCACTGCAATGACTTGAAAGGCATTCTGCCTGCAGATAAATCCAAACAAATCAGATCAGAACTTGCCATTTCTCTATTTCCAACTCATAATACTGTCTGATGAAAACCCCTTTTATTGAGGAATATAATTATCAGCCCCCAAATTCATGTTTAACATGTAAATATCTTTTTAAGTGGAACAATAAATATAGTCCCAGATAGCACATGATTTTTTTTTTTTTTTATTCGACAGGCAGAGTTAGTAAAAGACAGAGAGAAAGGTCTTCCTTCGGTTGGTTCACCCCCAAAATGGCCACCACAGCCGGAGCTATGCTGATCCGAAGCCAGGATCCAGGTGCTTCCTCCTGGTCTCCCATGCTGGTGCAGGGCCCAAGCACTTGGGCCATCCTCCACTGCCTTCCCAGATCACAGCAGAGAGCTGGACTGGAAGAGGAGCAGCCGGGGCTAGAACCGGCACCCATATGGGATGCCAGTGCCGCAGGCAGAGGATTAACCAAGTGAGCCATGTCGCCGGCCCCAGATATCACATAATTTTGAACTACTAGGAGGCATCCTTAGACTTAAATAAGTATGAAGAACTGTTGAGATGTAAAACACATTCCACAGAAAAAGAAGAGATCTAGGAAATCTTATAAACACTTTTCTCTGTTGGCCATATAACTATACACAGATTCTCCATTATCTTGGTTGCCATCATCTTTTCCTGAATTTTTTCAAAGAACTTTCTGAGCTATAATGGAAAGATCAAAGACATCTATAAACAAATATTAAGCATCATATAAAAATGAGTTAACCTAAACTTTCGTGATCTGTGGCACTTAGTTGACATACATAGTAAATCCTAGATTATTCAGCTTCCCAATGATGGTTTGGGAAAAGGGAGGCATAGCTCCTCCCCACGTGTAAATAGCTGCTCTTTAATTCTGAGAGTGTCATGATTTTCTGTAACACCACATTTTCCTCAAAATATGGTGCTCAGTCTGGCGACCCCTGAGGTGTTTAATTTATTGTTCTGTTAGAGAAAATTAAATGATGCAATCCTGAATTGTTTACAAAAGTGCTGCAGAATTTGAAGCTACTTCTTAAAACTTCAACTACTTACTGTTTTCCCCCTGCATCAAATTCTTGCAGTGTTTAGATACAAACTTAATAGACACGAATAAATAAAACTCTGAAATGAATGGAAGTTAGACAACTGCCTTAGGCTTGAGAATTGCTCTATTGTGCAACACAATACACTTTTCAAAATGCACAATTTATATTTAAATCCCATCCAATTATAAAGCAATCAAAAATTTCTGTAGTCCAGTGTTCAGGAAAATTATAAAAATGTACATATTTTACCCAAATAAACACCTTTCTCTGAGTTTTGGTAGTTAGAGATTTACTTCTCCCAACCAACAAAGCAAAACCTCCAGAGCAGAGGTTAGGCTCAGTTACCTGTATGTATCTGTCTTTCCCTTAAAAGACTGGTTCCTGTCTCAGAGACTGGGACATGGAAAAGCCGTTGGCATTCCAAGCAGTCTGCATTCAAATTATTCATAATTTTGAAGAAATTGATGCTCATATCCTAGTCAGGGCACTTTCTACTGAAAACAGGAAAATGCTCACATACATTTTTTTGTTTTGTCTTAGAAATATATTAAAAGCCTTTAGAAGTACAACTATTGTCCATCTCCTTGATATAAATTTCTTTTGAACTTGTGACAAGGAAAAATAAATCATATGCTGTTAATTCTCCGAAATCAGGGAGAATATATAATGTTTGTCTCTTTGGGACTGTCGCTCCCCCTCTTCGTGGAGGAATGACACTAAACCCTGCCTAGGCTTCATATCCGAGTCACGGCCCCATTATGTCGCTACCCCTCTTCACGGAGGAACGACACAGGACCCTGCGCTGTTCTTTTGTCTGCTCGGCCCTCCCCGGGTTTGCTGCTGGTTCTTCCTGGGTTGGCTACTGACCCTTCCACCTCCGTGGAGGGGCGGTTCCCCCTGCCACTGTCCCCACTTCCGCGGGGGAGCGGCACACCGCCGGCCAGCTCTCTCGGGGGCTGCTCAGGTGTTCCTTTAGATAGATGTTCCTTGTGCATGTTGTCTCTCTCCTCCTTTATAGTCCTCTTCCACCAATCCCAACTCTGCTACCCACACGCGGAGTACGCTGCTCTCCTCCAATCAGGAGCAGGATCAGCTCCCACAGTTTGTCAAGTTGGTGAGAGGCAGCTGCGTAGAAGTTTACTCCTCCCCAGCGCTATATCGTGGGAGAACAGATGCATAGAATAGATCTTAATTCCAGTAACTTAGCCTAGTCCCAGTTGCTCCCCACAGGGACTTGGTTATTTCACTAAGTATGAGGTTTTCCAGCTTGCTCAATTTTGTTGCAAAAGACCATATTTCATCTTTTTTGACTGCTGTGTAGTATCCCATAGTGTACATATCCCATAATTTCTTTATCCAGTCTTTGGTTGATGGACATTTAGGTTGCTTCCATGTCTTAGCTATTGTGAATTGATCTGAGATAAACATGGAAGTGCAGATAGTTCTTTTGTTTACTGATTACATTTCCCTTGTATAAATTCCCAGGAGTGGAATGGCTGGGTCATATGGTAGGTCTATATTCAGGTTTTTGAGGTATCTCCATACTGTTTTCCACAGTGGCTTTACCAGTTTACATTCCCACCAACACTGGGTTAGAGTGCTCTTTTCCCCACATCCTCTCCAGCATTTGTTGTTTGTTGATTTCTGTATGAAGGCCACACTAACTGGGGTGAGGTGAAACCTCATTGTGGTTTTGATTTGCATTTCCCTGTTGACTAGAGATCCTGAGCATTTTTTCATGTGTCTGTTGGCCATTTGGATTTCCTCTTTTGAAAAATATATGTTAAGGTTCCTGATTTGGGAAAATTAACAGCACAGCTAAAATGAAAGCTATAGAAGCAAAATAGTTACTTTTAGAAATGTCCACAAGATTGATTGTTGAGAGACAGTTAACTATTGTTACTTTTTACTGTGTATATCCTTTTGTTTTTTTTCTTTCTTTTTCCCTCCACTTTCTTTCTCTCTCTCTCTCATCTCTCTACCTCACTCTATATGCTGAACACTCTATGTAACACAGAGTTAATTATATGTATTTTAAAGCAATTGGGAAAAGATACCAGTTAAAAACAAGGGAGGGAATAAGAGAACAGGGAGGGAATAAGTGAAACAGTCTAGCTCTGCATACAGGCATATAGACTCACCTCTAAGGGTACAGCCTAAGAATTAATCATGGGGCTCCAAACCCATAAGAATCAGTGGTATAAACACCATCTTCACTGTTAAAATGATCATATTAAATGTTAAAGGCAACAGATAGACTGGTCTAAGTTTAAAATGGACTACATAAATAACATCAAGTACCTGGTAAAAATAATAGAATTAGAAAAGGAAGGAAAGATCAACATGGGAAGCAGTCCACACAGCAGAATCCTAGAACGACTTTTGCAGTAAATAACACTTTGACCTCAGAATCAACCCATAAGGCTTCCTGGTCGGCCTGAAAGGCCTGCAATAGCATCTCAGGCATAAAAAGACAAGACTCTGTAGAAAAAAAAAAATCAAAGGAGACACTCTTCTCTGAAGGGAGAGAGCATCCTCTTCGCATATGGCCGTGTCCAAATACCAACGGGGTCTATGGTCACAAAAGGCCTCCACAGCCCTGGCAGCTCACCACAAGAGTCTAGGTTGATCACTGACGTCATAAAAAAAGAGTGTTAATTGTTAAAGGAACAAGAGTAGTCACTGTGCACTTGCTCCCCAGGTAAGACCTCTGTCCCTATTGAATTGCAATATGATAATTGACTGCAAATTCTCTCCCCAAACTGTACTCTATATGTTGTGTATGGGCATGGGGGCAATTTGTTGAAACCTATGATTAGCATAAAGTTGGTCCTCTATATATAAAGTTATACTAAAAATGGTACATAATGAAGAAGGAGATGGGAGAGGGAATGGGAGGTGGGATGGGAGCTGGGGGGGGGGGGGCATGGGGGAAAGAACCACTGTATTCCTAAAGTTGTATCTATGTAAAAATCCATTCAATAAATAAAAAAAGAAAACAAATCATATGCATAGCATGGAAAGAATATTATAACTTTACATGACATTTTAGTTTCAAATCTGATGTTCAACAGTAGGCAGACATTTAAAATATACAAAGAGAAGCTCAACTACCCATGTGAAATGGGAACTAATTTGAGTTCAGTGATATAAATTTCTTTCCATTCTCTGATTACCATAACCATTGCTTCATGTAACATAAGTTAAAGCATGTCTTGAACATATTTGTCCTCTCTGCTCTAAATGAACTGTGGCAGCTATGGATATTTTTAGCTGATTAAAGTCAATGCACTCAGATCAAATCTGCAATCTATGTAATCATATGTTACACATTCCCTAGATAGAATAATTCTAAGGGACTAATCTTTTATAAATTTAGGCTTATATGAGTTTGTTACTTCATAACACTTGCTACATTCTGTTCCAGCTTTTAAAGTTGATAAAAATTCTTTCATGAGTTTAAACAAATTATAGTTTCTTTGATTAACAAGACTGACTTTATTCAATATAGTCTTATCCTAAAGACTACAATTATCTAGATTATCTTTTGGCTTCCAGTGTTTAATAAAGGAGAGTATAGGCAAATGAGTCCATTTAGTTGTGCCTCAACTTCCCCTAAAGGAGAAATAGAATAATATTCTTTGTATATTTAACAAGTATTTGCTGAGTCATTGGTGGAATATAAACATCTTTGCATATTGTTGAAGATTTAAGGATAGTTCTCCACTGAATAATCCATTAAAATGCAGTCTTATTTATTTATTTGAAAGAGAGGAAAAAAACCTTCCATCTGCTGATTCACTCTCCAAATGTCTGGGTGCCAAGTCTCCTAGTTGGGCCATCACCAGGCTCCCCAGAGTATACGTTAGCAGTCAATTGTGGAGTTGCTGGGACTCCAACCCAGACACTGCAATATGTGATGTGAGTGTCTCAA